CCCTCGCATTCACTAATCATATAAAAAACTTTCGCTTCTGTTTTGTACCTCTTGTTCACTCTCAGAGTCCATACAATACTACACTTTCCACGACTGGCCGCGAGTTGTCTTTGGATAGTATGCTATGAAAAAATATATGAAAACATTTTTCAAACATTCAATTGTTTTGTTTAATCGAAACCCTTATTCAAAGGCATTCTCCCGGAGTTCCTCTACTTTTATTGTCACACATACTCTCACCACATATTATTCAATGGATTTTCTATTTATATATTCTTGTCGTCTAATCCCTACATCCCATCCCTTAGCGTATATCTTAAGTTACTCATCCATTTGATTGAATTTATTATTTATTTCAAAGTTAACTGCTTTGATATTAAGGATATACAGGTATAATATTATTGTATAATCTAAACATGTTGCAAATATATAATTGTCAAAATTTGGGATTATTTTTAAAAATATCTAATAATATGAGGGGAAACGGGAAACAGTCGACCCTTATACATTATATCAATGTATATCAAATGCTAATATTAATCATATTTTCTTAAGTTTAGTAGAAAGTATCAAAAGGAAAACTATTACAGCGATTGTCATTCAGATTTTGCACAAAATTAATCAATAGATATGCAAATCCTATTTACAATGAAAATATTAAATCAATTCATGAACTACTGGTAAGTGTATATAAAATTATACAATAGTGAAGCGCCTGTAGTGATGGCCCATTCACTGGCCATACATTTAATGACACAATTGTTATGGTAAGTAGTTATGGGTGAAGGCAGTGGTGGCTCATGTGATAACTCATCGCATAACTCAGGTATGAAAAGCCATTTCTCTCTTTATGCTCAAAAATACAATTTACTTATCATTACAGTAGAGGTTAACGATAAGAATCCGTTCACCTAATGGTGCAGTTTATACGGTGTGTATGTGTTTGGGGGCACCGATAAGACAAACACTAAAAGGTTGAGAATAAGACCTTTTTATACATAGGAGGGTGCGTTTGGGCTGATGATTGTCTTATATAAATCGCATGTATATATAAAATGCGGATTTATATAACATTATATGAAAATTCCAGTGCATTGTGTTGAGTGTATTAACTCAATATGCTATTGAGTCTCTGAAAGAAAAAAATTAAATACAAAATTACGGCGAAAAATAATGGCTAAACGTGTTATTAATTTTGCACAATCAGTATATTTTATAATATTATTGTTACGATTTTATTTTCATACAAACAATTCAATTCAAAAGACCCTAGTTTTCTGCTTACACTATGTTTTGCCTTTAAAATTACCTAAAATCTTGTGGCCATTACTTGGAGAATGCATTTTTAGATTAAAAAAGAGTTATCATTTTTATTCTTATTTTTCTGACGAATACAATAGGGTTTAAGAAAATTTCGTTTCATATTATGTATGGAAAAATGTTTTATCAATAGATTATTAACAGAACAGAAATAAACTCTTAATTAGTGTAACAAAAGAGTGAAATATAGTTTTTGGCGAAGAGTTTAAAAAACTTTTCTCATAATTTGCGTGAACATTATAAACGGGATATAAATCGGGCAACAATTTTGGTGAACTATTTTAAATAATTTGAAGTACAAAACTGAACTATAGTTTTGATTTTTTTTCTAATANATAAATTATGGATTTTGACCAAAAATATCATTTTTTTCTAAATTATTTCCATGAATTGATCATTTTTCATATATTATTTTGTGATAAATATACGATAAAAGTCTGTTTAACACAACATAAACTATTAATAGAAGTTATTGGACTTCTGTTACGCAAAGCTGTTATAAAAATTTGTGGAAAATATATTATTTTTAGCAAAAAATAATTATAAAAGTCTTCTGAAAAAATTACACGACTTCTCACAACAAACTCATAAAATAAGACAAACTTTTGCAAGAATTTTTTGAACACTTAATTCAAAATACAGTTTATTGTTATTATGATTTGTGATCACATGAAAAACAATATAAAAACTTTTTTCTCTGAGTTTTTCTTTCACTTTTTGTTGTGTTAATTAATTCCCAAGTTTTAAAGGATTCTTATGAAATATTTCGCAAACGAAAACACATTTTCACTTATTATTTTTATTATGATTATTAAAATTTATTACTTATTTATTAGTTTTCTTGAAGATTAAACTCCCATTCAATGGTCATATACTGCGCTTATCTGTACTTAACAGACAGTTATTGACTAAAGAACTCTTTGAAAAATTATATGCTTTTGATTAGCACTTTAATATACTAATCGTCTTTTTTATCAGTTAAAAACGACTTGACGATATGCTTACCTTGCACACAATTGAACACAAAATAACAAATAAATAGTAATTATTTATAATAATAACAAATAATAGCGAATCGGAAAAGCATTGCGAGAGTCAATCATATGGAGAGCTGTGGGGTTCGGGTTAGCAGTCATTCAATTAATTGGCGTTCAATTCAGTAAAAACTATAGCATTTGTTGCACAAGTATTTCCATTAGAGCACAGGTATTGTGTGATTCACGGTATGGCCATAAACTGCGAGTGACAGGTGTTTGCTATGAAACTTGTGAACGCATACAGTGAGAGGAATGGGAGGTTAGAGAGCTAGCGCTGGAGTTCTTGAAATACCACCGATTCCTATACCCATAGCCCAAGTGAATGGCAAAGCGCTGGCAGACAGTGCGCTCATACCTGCGACTACGGGACGGCAGGTATTGCTGAACGGCTTGTTTCAAGTAAAACTCATTGGACTAAACGATGTGACGGTGCGTTTGAGGTCGTTGTAACGTCACAGCCTCTACGGGGCCGGCAGGGGAACGGCAGTTGCATCACTCCATTCACTACTATTTTCTATTATATAAGCGAATTCATTGTTATTTTTCCTGTTTTTGCCCACATTTTCGTTACTCAATGTATTTAACTATGCGATGGATTAAAGGGAAAAATTAACTTTTTTATGAACAGATTTGTGTCGATTAAAGGCTTGCATAACATGAATGGACAGTAATTTTATAGTTAAATGAGGTTTTGAATTAATTTCTTTAAAAAACGTTTGATTTGCTTCTGATATCGACTAATCGTTTAGAAAATTACTTTATTTCTCGGAAATTAATTTATCATAAAAACATAATTTCTTTATTCGCTTCAATAGAGTGTAAGCAATAATTGTTTCGTACAATCCGTTATGAATTTACAGTAAATATTTGGTTTTGACTTAATTTGAGGCCTTATTTTTTGTAATTAGTTTTTGTGATGAATCGAGTTCTTTGCTCTCATATTATAATAGATATTGATTTCATATTTTGTCGGCCAATAACTAAGCCATTCGGTGGTATGTCTTGAGTGAAAATATTTCACTTAAAGGCCCAAACGTTGGGTAACTCTATGTCCCTCTTTCTCTGGGCTATGAATCATGACTGAGGGCTGGAGTCTCCGCATTCAACGCATACCTGAGTTCCCCTCGCATTCACTAATCATATAAAAAACTTTCGCTTCTGTTTTGTACCTCTTGTTCACTCTCAGAGTCCATACAATACTACACTTTCCACGACTGGCCGCGAGTTGTCTTTGGATAGTATGCTATGATAGATTTATTGCTATCATTATTTGAAACAAATTAAAAATAATAAAATACTAGAAAATTGAAATCCATATTCAAATCTTGTGCATAAAAAATGAATTTTTGGGTCAAAGAATCATAGGATTTAACTCTCAATGAGTGGTGAGATAATTATAATCTCGACTTTCAATTCAAGTAAAGTCTGTGAGAGAATCGAGTGAAAGAGAAATGAGAATCAAATAAAAAATATATTTAAATCATATAATTATTTGTTTTTAAGTATATGTTATACACATCCAGCTCTGGGACTAGGACTGGGAGGGAGGGAGGGAAAGGATTGTGGAATAATGAGAGTATAATGCGAGAGAGAGAGAGAGAGAGAGAGAGAGAGAGTTGATAATAGGGTAGAGAATGGGTTGAAAGAGCAACAAAATTGTAAATTAAATTAATAGTAAAAAAAAGCGAAATCTAAAACAAAAAATGTTGAGAAATGTTCGCTTCACTAAAGTGAAGAGTGGATGGAAGTAGTGATGAGAACCTGAGAGCAGAGTATGCGGTAAGACATGAAGACATGAGACATGAGAACGGACTTCAATGTTACACACGATTAGTAATTTCCCACAATTTCGGGACTCATATAATAAAACAATATATAAACACATATAAGACATACAGTAGTAGAGAGTGAATGAGTGAATAGTTGTCATTAATTTGCAGAACTAGTCTAATAATTCCCACACTTTTTCTTAATGGTTATACTGTTTACATGGAAGGACAGGGAGGACAGGGAGGGAGGGCAGGTGAGGCATAAGTGTCTCTCATCCATCTTAAAATACAAACATTTAGTTTATATGAGAAAATTATTGTGAATAAAAAATACTTATGAGAAATAAAAATAGCATTTAATAGACAGGTTAGCAGTCGATAGACGGATCTGATAGTGTGTATGGGGACGGGTAGGTACGGGCGGGTAGTATTGAACACATGCAGTAAATCATTACAACTCACGCGATGAGTCGGGTCTTTGTTTTTTGGATGCATTGTTGCCATCGTTTTGATTATGTGTTGACCTGACTGTCAATCTCTGCTCAATATTGGCTGAAAGTAGGGACAGTTTTGCGAAGACTTTGCTATTAAACCGCAATATATTTGTTATGGATTTGAGTGAAGGAATTGCAGACATTATATCAGATGTTATCACAGACTCTGTTCAATACATTTATAATTAGACAATATTTCACTTTCACTTCAGTATAAGGATGTAAACAATAAATTACAGATATTAGATAGGTAGATATTGTATTTAGCCATTATTTTATTGCAAACAACAGTATAATCAGACGGGGAGAGACATGTGTAGTGGAAATGGATGTATAATAGCATTGAAAATATACGGCTATATCTGATACGTCAGGCAAATAGGAATCGACTCGTTATTAAAGTCCTTGATTTTTGGCGAAAGTCCTTCACATTGTTTCCAACGATAGGAATGTATTAAATGTTGATTTTATGAGGATTTTACTGTATATTAGAAAGTATCACAAAATACCAGTTTTTTCTTTCATTTTGGCGTTAGTCTGGAGAATCGTTTGACATGATTATCGTTACACGATATATGACTCCATTGCAAACGAGTGCACGTTTTCCACATCCACTCCGCGAAGTATCCATACTATCCATACTATCCATACTATCCATACTATCCACAGGTGATTGTCTGTGATATGCGCCCTAAACTAACCTAACATTACATACAAAGTTCAGACATATAATCATAATATTTGAAAGTTTGACGCTTCTGTTTAATTTTCAACGAGATCATAAATGTGCAAACAAGTGATCTAAACTTCTGTTATAATAATTGATTTTCAATCAAATGAAATGATATGAAAAGCACTTTATTAAGGGCTTATTTTGTATTTTGTTACACGCATCTTAACGCTATGTCTACGTAAAGTACAAGTAAATTGCAATTTTCATTAGTTATTAATTATATAAAAAAATATTTAAACAAGGTTCTGGTGATTGTAGTCTTTTATCGTTTAATTTTCTATGATATTCAAAACTTTGTTATTGAATAAAAAGTGTCACATCATTTTATGTAATGAGGTGATAATTAACACTGCACTCTAATGTACTTCTGTAGTACAGAATCTGTACCCACTATACTATCATTGGCGCCTAATTGTGTAACTTACTTTTAATCTAATCGACTAATATTGTAATAATGAATCAAATAATTATTTATTTCATTTGACGTGACTTATACAAAATATTTCATATACAATTTCATACCTCATTTAAATAGAGTTAAAGCACTTGATTACCCATTAAACAATCCTAACCTTATAATTTGTAAAGTTTATGCACTTTTTATTGTGAATATTACAGCAATAAAATGAATGATATTATATAATATAACAAAAGTAGAACATAACACATATTTAATTCAACACTAAACAAGTGCTGAAACTTTTTGTATCTGGGATTGCATTCAAAAGTGAGACCTCTTTATCACATCTCATATCACATATCGTTACCTCTTTGTGGATGAGATCCGAAATCTAATGATTGATAAGTCATTCCTTTCTTAAGATCCTTTCAATACGAAAGCAATACTTAAATGAGATTTTTTCGCTATTCAATAGTGAGTTAGCGTTGAGTCAAATCTTTTTTATTATTGTCTGATCTAATCATAGAGAATAAGTTTTTGTGGTTTTCAAACGATAATCATATATCAGCTACCGGTCCACTCGCTGGGAGTACTCGTTTATTACCCTATCGTATAAATGTCTGCAATGTTTGCCCAAAACGATACAAATGAGTAAAAAATACTAGTAAATAGTGTAATGAAATTGAAAATAAAATTAATTTAAGAAGAAATAAGAAAAAATTTCTCTCATTTTCATGACTCTGTTTATTATTAATATTTATTCTGTGAAACAACTTTTTTTGTAAAAAACTAAACAAATTATCACGAATTCTCTCAATTCTTCGCAAAATTTATTTACTTTAAAAGCAAACATTTTGTTCAATCAATTTTGTAGCCAAAAGAATGCATTCAAAAATATTTTCTAACATTTATTTTGCAATTCAATTGCAGCGATGATCATAAAAACAACAATATTAGAAAAAAAATCAAAACTATAGTTCAGTTTTGTACTTCAAATTATTTAAAATAGTTCACCAAAATTGTTGCCCGATTTATATCCCGTTTATAATGTTCACGCAAATTATGAGAAAAGTTTTTTAAACTCTTCGCCAAAAACTATATTTCACTCTTTTGTTACACTAATTAAGAGTTTATTTCTGTTCTGTTAATAATCTATTGATAAAACATTTTTCCATACATAATATGAAACGAAATTTTCTTAAACCCTATTGTATTCGTCAGAAAAATAAGAATAAAAATGATAACTCTTTTTCAATCTAAAAATGCATTCTCCAAGTAATGGCCACAAGATTTTAGGTAATTTTAAAGGCAAAACATAGTGTAAGCAGAAAACTAGGGTCTTTTGAATTGAATTGTTTGTATGAAAATAAAATCGTAACAATAATATTATAAAATATACTGATTGTGCAAAATTAATAACACGTTTAGCCATTATTTTTCGCCGTAATTTTGTATTTAATTTTTTTCTTTCAGAGACTGAATAGCATATTGAGTTAATACACTCAACACAATGCACTGGAATTTTCATATAATGTTATATAAATCCGCATTTTATATATACATGCGATTTATATAAGACAATCATCAGCCCAAACGCACCCTCCTATGTATAAAAAGGTCTTATTCTCAACCTTTTAGTGTTTGTCTTATCGGTGCCCCCAAACACATACACACCGTATAAACTGCACCATTAGGTGAACGGATTCTTATCGTTAACCTCTACTGTAATGATAAGTAAATTGTATTTTTGAACATAAAGAGAGAAATGGCTTTTCATACCTGAGTTATGCGATGAGTTATCACATGAGCCACCACTGCCTTCACCCATAACTACTTACCATAACAATTGTGTCATTAAATGTATGGCCAGTGAATGGGCCATCACTACAGGCGCTTCACTATTGTATAATTTTATATACACTTACCAGTAGTTCATGAATTGATTTAATATTTTCATTGTAAATAGGATTTGCATATCTATTGATTAATTTTGTGCAAAATCTGAATGACAATCGCTGTAATAGTTTTCCTTTAGATACTTTCTACTAAACTTAAGAAAATATGATTAATATTAGCATTTGATATATATTTATAAATGTATAAGGGTAGACTGTTTCCCGTTTCCCCTCATATTATTAGATATTTTTTTAAATAATCCCAAATTTTGACAATTATATATTTGCTACCTGTTTAGATTATACAATAATATTATACCTGTATATCCTTAATATCAAAGCAGTTAACTTTGAAATAAATAATAAATTCAATCAAATGGATGAGTAACTTAAGATATACGCTAAGGGATGGTAAGGGATGGGATGTAGGGATTAGACGACAAGAATATATAAATAGAAAATCCATTGAATAATATGTGGTGAGAGAGTATGTGTGACAATAAAAGTAGAGGAACTCCGGGAGAATGCCTTTGAATAAGGGTTTCGATTAAACAAAACAATTGAATGTTTTAAAAATGTTTTCATATATTTTTTCCATAGCATACTATCCAAAGACAACTCGCGGCCAGTCGTGGAAAGTGTAGTATTGTATGGACTCTGAGAGTGAACAAGAGGTACAAAACAGAAGCGAAAGTTTTTTATATGATTAGTGAATGCGAGGG